GTACTTTTTTAGTTATAGGCTTCCTAAGCTTTTCAGTTATAGCTCTACTAAATTTAGAGTTCATTGCTAATAATTGTCTATTTGTTATATTTGCAGGTTGATTAAAGAATTGTTGAGAAGTATAGAGTATAATCATTTGGTTTACAGGTAACATAGCTGCTAGTTTCCTTTTTACTACCTTTCTTTATTCATTCGAATTAATGTCGGCCAATTCTCACCATATTTCGATGGGCCTCTGATAAACATATCACCACTTAGTTGAATTTTATTTAGAGCGTTTAAAAAAATAGCATTAATTCTAAAAACTGGTAATTTGTCGGTAGAATTATATGAAGCACGCGTCAAACGAACATAATCATCTTCTCGTAACACTTCATTGCCTAATAAAATTTCTCTGAAATGTGGATATGTTCCCATTTGTTGCAGTAATCTCCTTTCACTCACACTCTCAATTTTCGTAAAGGATAAAGATGGTAGAGTATATTGATATTGCTGTAATGCGGTGAATGTTGAAGCAATCTCTTTTGCCCGTGTTATAGCTTTAAGGTAAGCATTAACTAGCTCATAATGTTTCGTGATCCTTAGTAAACGAATTTGGCTATCACTATACAATTCCTTTCCAATCGCTTGTGTTGAATTCGAAGAATCGTAGGCTAACCATGGTAGAATGAATTTGTAAGATAATTTCTTCACTCTGGATAACATCAATGGTTTTAACATATATAAGATCTCAAAACCATTTCTATATTGTTCTTTTAATCGTTTACAAACTAATGCCGGCCAATACTTTATTTGATCGGCACCGACCTCCTCAAACAAGGACTCATATTGGCTTGGGTTCAATATATATTTTATATCACCCCATACAATTTCTTCACATCGGTACATACTAATAAATTTTTTTTTGTTTTTAGGATTTATTTCTTGAATTGTTAATGGCAAGTTCGAAGTTTCGTCCAGTAAAAATACATTTGACTTTTTAGAAAGATTTTGACACCAATCTTTATCACAGTATCTGCATTTGCAAGAAGATGCCTTATCTGAAGCTAACCATAAAATATGATCTTCAAATTCAGCAGGTGAACGGAACTTTGAACCATTACCTACGAATATAAATTTAGGCACGTTTAGCATGCAATTGATGTTGGATTAATTATTGAACTCACCAAACAAATAAGTGTCTTTTCTTGTTGGCTTCGCTTTACCCGAATCGTCAACTGGATATTGTTTAACACGTTCATATAACGCATAACCGTCTGGTAAATCGATTAACGTAGCTAAAATGAAAATATAGTATTAGTGAATAACACTTTTACAGAAATAAGAAATTGCGCAGTTGTATATACCATTTGGAACGTTGATTCCTTGTACCTCCAGCGCTTTACCGAGCACATTACCGAGTTTTACAGCATATAAAGTAGTTTTATGCTCATCTTTGCCAACTGTTTTATATGAGAAAATGGCACCCTTTTCATTAGTTTTTGGATTTGTGTCGGGATGATTTAACTTGTTGCCATCAGAATAAGTCACAGTTAAGCCCGCCTCCGTTACTTTAACATTAACAATGTTCATTTCCTTGTGATGTAAGATTTACAATGTAAAGATTTACAGAATATAAATAAAGAATATTGATATCAGATAATAGTCTTTTCATATTGGGCTCAGGTGATTTATGCGAGGCGGAGGGATTGGGTAGTGTTTTGACCAATAAGAAAATGCATTTCTATATTATTAAATAGCTAAATATAACTTTGACTACAAAATTTTTTATGTAACAAAAAATAGTTATCTCTTAATCTGTAGGCAAATTTGCTTGGAAAATTTATGTAACAATATTTATGATCTATATTTTTATAAGGCAATTTCTATTTGTACACTATGTGTATATACGTATAGTAACACAAAGTATAAGAAAAGCCAATCAAAAATTAAGATCTGGTGTAACATATAGCATAATGAAAACAGAGAAAAAAAACAATATTTGACAATATCTCAAAAATTCGCTTATGAAACTGCCTTTGCAGTTCTAACAAAAAAAATTTATTGCTAAATTTTGCATATATATAACACTTTGCTAAAATATCAAGCCTCACCCTAACTCTAAAGCTAAAAAAATTGTTTTTTTTTAATAATCAATTTGTTTTTTTTTATCATATATGTATATACACTATATGTAATTTAATTTTTTTTTTTTTTTTTTTTTAAAGTGGCTTACATTGCCAGGTGATTTTTATTAATTTGATATATGAAGTCTCACATGGGGTTCTCCTACAGTTTTCAGTTACATGAAGAGTATACAACAAGCCATACGTACAACTTTAATCATTATCTAATTTAAGTAGTCTGCTATGCAGGCGTTAGACCACCTGTTAGTACTACACTATGCTGCCATACCTGCAACTTACCTGTGAGTTACCTATTTAAACACTCTGTTCAACTAACCTATTCCCGTTACAAACTAATGTCACTGTAACACCTAATCGCATATGCTAGCTAGCTCATTATAGATTCATTTTTCGATACCAGCTTAGGTCTTCTCAGGATGCATGTTGCTCATCATATTGTGAGCATGCAGAGCTTCAGTTAACCTCGAAGCAAACCTACTAGAGCGGTCCATGCCTATTTCACGAACTCACCTAGCTTAGACCCTTGTAGATGTTCGTATAACCCCGGTTTCTTCTGTAGCTCTACTAGTTTTCTGTGTCTATCTTCTTAGATGTTTTACAAGGCAGATCCTCCTAATCCAGTTAGCCGCTAAGCCAGGTTAGTGTTACCGATCCTCCCCGTAGAACAGATTTATGCACACCCAACTCGATCTGCATCTTTGACGATAGTTTCCTTTCTGGATCAAGTGTTAGCCAGTGTGACTGTCAAAAGTTGTACTACTTCACCAACTCGGGATTTCTACCATGCAGGTCTCCTGCCTGTATATCATTTGTGTGCGCATATCATCCTGTGATTAACTACCACCACACTAATGTTTTTTCATATCAAGATTTATTCGTATGCGCATATCATCCTGTAATTAACTACTACCATACTACTAATGTCTGATTGACTTGGTACAACTTAACTTACAGGGTTATAACCCCAGAAATGAACAGAGTTTACTGTAAGTTGGGTACAAAGGTCTGGGTAATTATTCAAATTCGTCAACAGTGAGATTTGAACCCCAGACCTCTTGCATGGCGGTCTGGCAACCTAACCACTACAC